TTTGATGAAACTCCACAAATTCACCACACATTGAATGAGGATAATTTGTGCCAAATCTGAAGTGCCAAAACACTATGGTTAAAAAGTTGTTAGGTTATATTGCTGTGGCAGTCATCTCTGACTGCGTTTTTCGTATTTTCCTAGAACAACTGTCTTTTTGGCAGGTGTCCAATGCATCATGTTTTACAACTTACTAACAACAGGGGCTATACATACACAATATCTTCTTTCTTTTCCTGAAAAAATGAACATAATTGGATAAGTATTTTCCAATATATAGTGATTTTCCATTCACGTTTTTCGTATTTTCCATGTTCGACTGCCTTTTGGGCAGGTGTACAAGACATCATATTTTACAACTAACTATCAACAGGAGCTGTACATACACAGTCTCTTCTTTCTTTCCTGAAAATATGAAAACAATTGGATAAATATTTTCCAAGATATAGCGATTTCTTTGGGTTGCGTTGTTTTTTTAACACCCTGTATTAAATGTCAAGTTTAATTACCAAATGTACATTGACCACTTATTATTAAGAATTCTTGAAGCCCATTGTTCTCTTACTATGACGTCATTATGTCCATGGTTACAGCAAGTTTATGAATTCTTATCTGGACGAAGTGTCTGTCAATGATCTCGGTTATTCGGAAAATAGATAAGTAGATATTCAATTAATCGTGTGCGTCAATATGATAGTCAGCGTCTGCTGTGGATCAATTAGCTACCGACTGAAGTGCTACGTAAATAGTATACTCCCGACAGCATATCGTGTTGCGATAGTTCATTCCAGAGCCTTTAATTGTTCTAGTGTTTTTTGAATATGTAATTTACCCCAAAGTATTCCGTGCGATTCCAAATAAAGAGGTTGCCATGCCGGTGATCCATGATGAATGAAATCCTTTAGTGGGTGGATGATGCGACAGCAGTTAAATTTGAACTACGACAACCATACGATGACCGTATTTTCCCAAACTTGAGATAAAGACAGCATAAAATATAGGGATAAGCAGTTCGATGTAGCCTAGATTTTCTATATCGATTTTGTGAAGCTACGACCGCCGTACGTCCACCGACCGTAGAGCAAATATGGCTAGGGCTTACGTTTGGAAACCCACTATTTTAAGTATTCTATCATTGGTTGGCTGATCTACTGTGTATTAGAATAAAAAAAACACACGCATCTAAAATAAGAAGTTTCATTCACCCTGCGCAGTAAAATAACCGCTTTCAAAAGAGGCCTGATTAATAAAACGTATAAAAGAGTATATGTTACAAGGTCGAACCGTGCCATTGCCGACTGAAAAACAAATTCGTGACCGTTAACGTGATTCTTATTCGATCGGCATAATCCACCTTTACGTCGTTTAAGATTCGTGAGTTCAGATAAGGACATGCGGGATCTCATGCGATTGGTTTATAATGAAGTCAATGTCAGCGCATTGTCTATTATTGAATAACCGATCATTAATCATTAATTAAAAATAAGGAACTAGGTTAAATTAAGATTTTACTGCATTTTTATCAAAGTATAGATTTCTAATTCACTCACTAACAAAGGCCTATCCGTTCTATGTCCATTGACAGATTTTCATTTTCGAAGCGAATAATATCATACTTGACTTAGGGCGAACTAATAGTCATTTATATTAATCAACGACCAAGGTAGAAAAAGAGGACCAGCTTAAACGTTAACTTTTGTTCCTCAAAACTGAAATTAGAGGTCTCTAGTTATGCCTGGGTCACATACGCTCCGATCCATCGGCCGGCGCCCGGCTGAATGAGTGTTTTGTTCAATATTGTAGGCTTATTCAATTTTGAACAAAATACTCAATCGGCCGTTCGCCGTCGTGAAAATCGGAGCAAATGTGACCAAGGCATTAATAGGCGATAGAGAATTACACCAACTGTTGGGGGGCAGATCCCGGGGGCATATCCCCTATATGATTATTTTAAACGTTAACTAACTTTAATTGTTGAAATGAAGTTCAAAGGACGTAATACTGTATACCTCATTTAGTCTTATTTGCCTCGCCTATTGATTTTGCCTCAACTAATTTAAAGGGGTATTCTTTGCCAGACCATCTCTCTCCTAATATGGTAGCTATAACCATATACATACTTTGCAAGTTTATCAAAAAACAGAAAAATGTTTTGAAATGGTCAATATTGATCACTAAAAAATGTAGTGCTCAATAGACTAGATGCGAGTAGAAATAATCTTGATTTACGTTATTAAACATTCAAAATTCACTCAAAGTGATGTCATATTTGAAATCTACATGTAAAAGTACATCTAGAAATATGGGTTCGAAAATTGTTTATCAACTTTGAACATTTAATTTCTTTTGAAAATGTGACTTCTAGTTCGGGTTGATTCCCCATAGACCCCATATTACAAAATCACAAAAAGTGAAATATCTTTTCTTGTATTGGACAGCATGTATATCCAAAATTATGGCATATTCTATACTTTCTATACTTTCGAACTGCTTTTTTTAAATGATACTTTTTTCAGTCTTAGACGATTGGACTCTCTAAAGTCTATACATGTCTATACTTTCTATACTGTCTATACTTTTGATTTTGGTGAATCCCCTATGTCTATACTTTCGATACTTTCTATACTTTACATTTTGGTGAAATCCCTATGTCTATACTTTCGATACTTTCGATACTTTCTATACATTGTAAAACAATATGTGACGTCATAAGTTTCTTGGTCACTTTCGATTTTGGTGAATTGCCTCAATGTATTGTAAAACAATATGTGACGTCATACGTTTCTTGGTCCCAGTTGAATTATTTTTAAAATTCACCATAAAATTTACGAGGTTTGCAGTAAAGACGTCTCATAGTGGCCATGGATGACCGTGTAATAAAACAAGTATCTGAATAAAAATTTGTGTTTTATAAGGCATACAATAGTCAATAGTCAATTTCCTTGTATTATATTCCATGAGCGGTTCGAAAGTATAGAAAATATAGAAATATAGATTTGTCTGAGGCAGTTGGTCTGAAAAAGCAGTTCAAAAGTATAGAGACCGTAGACATCTTATTTGTCCAAAGCATATAGTATGAAAATAGAGATTATCCATGAAAAAGCAGTTCGAAAGTATAGAAACTATAGACATCTGATTTATCAAAGACAGTTTTGTGAAAAGCAGATAAAAAGTATAAAAAGTATAGAAACTATATAGACATCTGATTTGTCGAAGACAGTTATGGAGAAAAGCAGATCGAAAGTATAGAAAGTATAGAAACTATAGACATCTGATTTGTCGTAGACAGTTATGGGGAAAAGCAGATCGAAAGTATAGAAAGTATAGAAACTATAGACATTTGATTTGTCGAAGACAGTTATGGGGAAAAGCAGATCGAAAGTATAGAAAGTATAGAAACTATAGACATCTGATTTGTCGTAGACAGTTATGGGGAAAAGCAGATCGAAAGTATAGAAAGTATAGAAACAATAGACATTTGATTTGTCGAAGACAGTTATGTGGAAAAGCAGATCGAAAGTATAGAAAGTATAGAAACTATAGACATCTGATTTGTCGTAGACAGTTATGGGGAAAAGCAGATCGAAAGTATAGAAAGTATAGAAACTATAGACATTTGATTTGTCGAAGACAGTTATGGGGAAAAGCAGATCGAAAGTATAGAAACTATATATAGACATCTGATTTGTCGAAGACAGTTATGGGGAAAAGCAGATCGAAAGTATAGAAACTATAGAAACTATAGACATCTGATTTGTCTAAGACAGTTATAGGAAAAAGCAGATCGAAAGTATAGAAAGTATAGAAACTATAGACATCTTCTTTGTCAAAGGCAGTTAGTATGAAAGGGCATTTCGAAAGTATAGAAACTATAGACATATGATTTGTCAAAGGCAGTTGGTATGAAAAAGCAGTTCGAAAGTATAGAAAGTATAGAAACGTCGAAGGCAGATAGTATGAAAAAGGAGATCGAAAGTATAGAAAGTATAGACAATGTATAGAAAGTATAGAAATTGCCATAATTCTGGATATACCTCATTGGACAGATAACATTTTCTTTAACTGAACATATCTTAATTTGCATAACTATTAGATACATAAGGGTTATATGAAAATTGAACCACTAAAACAGATGTAATTAAAGTTAAAGTGAACTTTCTACTATACCCGCCATGCTATCTGACCCGAACGAGCCACCTGGTGGTTAAACTGGTAACTACCTACTCGCATCTGCGTTATTCCAGTAGGCTGCCATCTTTTAAAATTTCACTCAGGAAGTGATGTCATCGACTCTCAACTTTGCATATAACATTAGGTAAGGAGCTATTAGAATTACTAAACCAGCTGAATATTTTTTTCAATTTGGTCTATGATTAAAATCCTTTTGATGATCTCTTCTTTAGTTCTAAGTTGACAACTCCTGAAAGTATTTTTACACAGAAGATAAGGGCTTCTTGTTTAGAAGTGATTTTGTACTTCTTTCCTATACTGTAATAGACAAGGTTATAACAGGTGAGAGTCGATGACATCACTTCCTGAAAGAAATCTGAAAAGATGGCAGCTTACTGGGAATGAGTACTACATTTTTAAATGATCAATATTGACCATGTATGAAAACATTTCCCCATGTTTTGCTAAATATGTAAAGTATATATATGATTGTAGCTACCATATCAGGAGAGAAATAGTCTGGCAAGGAATGTTCCTTTAAGATCCTAGCCTCTGCCATCAGGAACTCTGAGCTATTTAAAGCGCTAGCCATGAAGGAAACGTTACATGCTTGATGCCCATGCTCCATCCAGTTCACGCAATTCATAACACCACTGTGGAGTACAACATAAAATATTGATACAACATAAAATATTGATACAATAGCCAACTAGTGAAATAGCCTCGTGTTCGTAATTGACGTGTGTATTGTGCGAATGCTTAACAAGGAAGTGAGATCATTTTGTTTATTATATGTTTGATAATGAAGTGCTGTATCATGGTTTTTATAGGTTTGAGTCGATGAGCGGTGCTAGCAAGCCTAATAGAAGAGAAAGTTCTTATATAGGTGACACGCCACATAGGGAACCTTCACATAAAGGAGACACGCCCCATATAGGTGACACGACGCATAGAAGTGAACCACCCAAAGTACGAGATGGTCGAAGTCCTATTGTAGACGTTGCATCGTTTTCTGGGTCGCGAGAGGTGGGTAGAAAGCGAATATAATTTATTTGCTTGTTTGTTACCTATTAGAGGGCCTTTGGGTCTATTTTAGCGTGTATTGATGGAATAAATATTATTTGTGTCTCAGATCCCCCAGGCTACTTTGGTATTCACTTTGAATCTCAAAAATGGCCTATCTAGCCATCTAGTTGAAAGCCCATGATCTAGCCAATTGTTCATTGGAATAAATTTCAACTTTCAAAAGACAATGGAGTAAAACGTGCCAAGAGGTTCAGTTTCTTCATTGAAGTAGACTATAATCGCTATATCGCTCGTTTGAGGACAAATCGTGGGAATAATGCAACCATAGTTATTTTAGATAGACTTCATCCGGGTCTTGAACACTCCGTCCTCTGGACCCAGAACATCAGGTGCTCAGACATTATCCATTGTATATAGTGCGCCATGCGTTCATAGGATGGAAGCACGATGTAATCACAATCATGCAGCATGTTTTAAACAATGCATATAAAACCAGAGACATATAAAACTGATACAAGAACGTATGACATATAATGTGTTGCAACTCACTTTTTTAAAAAAGTGCGCCCGTTAAATCGATCTAATGAACTACACACTTCACCTGGCCTATATGAGAATGGGGGAGGGGGTGCAGATACTTTATACAAGGCAAATAAACACCTAATTAAAATTCGGTATTGGGAAATATATGCGCCCTGGTTCCAAATATATTTCTAAATATCTCAGATCTAACGCTATCATGGGATATTGTGTGTCCAATGGGATACATCCTGGTGAGCTTTCCTCTTCCAGAGAAAAACGGATATAAGTGATTTATTTAAATGACTCATATAGTTTTCAACGAACAAACGGTAAAACAAACTAACAAAACAAAAAACACAAACCAGACTAGTTGTCTCATTCCATCCCAGTAGTAAACCCCCAAGTCACAATGGCTAACCGATGTAATTTCTTTTAGTTAGGAATTCCATTGACCAAGGGTTTAGCCATGTTTCAGGAAAACTCTCTTTTACGTCAGTTATATCTGGTTTTAATCTTGAGGTTGATTATACACGATCTGGGAATATTTAAAGCAGTATAGGAAGGTTTACACGTCCTGCTAAGTACAGGTCTCAATGTAAAAAGATGGCGCGGCACTATCTCTAAATGGATAACTTGATGGATTCTTTGGTGGAATTTAAACGTATTTCAAATGGAGAAGTTTAATGACCGATAGAGCTACCCAGAATAAATGGTTCTCAAATCACATCAAATGACAGAAGGAGATGTTAACATTTCAATAGTCTCAAGATCCTTCTTTAAAAGAGAGTTTCATATGTGAGAATAACCCAGAAATCAAAGATGACACCACCTCGATGTAAAGATTAACCTCTAGCTCATTATATAGGCTCATCTTTGAATTCCTCCTCTTGAGCTTCAAGTATATTGCATCAACCTCCAGGCCCGTAGCCAGGGGGGTTCGGGGCGTTCGGGCGAACCCCCCTGGCCAAAATTTCTTTAAAATCATGCAGTTTTTCACCATTCTGACTATTCTTGTGTGATTTTTGGCCAAATTTGCCAAAGTGACCCCCCTAGATTTTTTTGGAAAAGTGAAGCCCCCCTTGAAAAAGTCTGGCTACGGGCCTGACCTTTCTTTAAAAAAAATAGGAAACGGCGGTATACACTGCGTTTAATATTTAATTAATAGCAGAACAAATATCACGCCACATCGATTAATAAAGACAATTAATACATGCAGATCTTTCAAGATTTATAACCAAATACAAAACGGATACCAACGCGTATCCATGAAGAGGTCACGTGGATTTACGTGGACGGAGTACACGTGGATGCACACGCATCGTTACCACACGGTTGTGTTTATATACTGACAAAATGAATGCAAAGAATGATCAAAATATAGTTCCTCATCAGATCAATTTTTTAAATGAAAATCGTCTATGCCCATTGGTGGTCTAATACATTGCGTTTGCCCTAGGGGATGAAATCTGTCGTATTGCGTTTGTAAATGCAACGATTTCGGTCAACTTAATAATTTATAAATAGCGATAAGGCGATGTTTTGGAAATAATGTACGAGCACTAATTTATCGTTGGATTTTACAGTTTTGAAAGAGTCCGTGATACCCACCGCAAAATAGGCCTGGAATAATTTCCCATTGCCATTTTTACTTGGTCGATAAACTTTTGATATAATACCCGTATTTGGTCAACTTAGATGATAACGTCATAACAGTTACCATGGTACGGACGAAACCTTTTTAACTCAAGAGGAGAAGATAAGCAGGTGGACATTACAATTAAATCTTCAGTGAATCACTCCCGTTTCACAAGAATCTAAAATCACCTTGGTGGGGTTGCTGGCCTAGCAATGCAATTATATGAAATAGCATGTTCTGATTGGTTGGAATTGAACACACCTTCCCTAGCTATATGTGAATCAGCGATAATGGAATGGATGATTGACCAGGTAAATCTTGTCATTGAATTCCAGAAAACCAATTATTCAATCAACTTTAAATTTTGACAAATACAACACCAGATAATAGGCCAAACTGCCATAATTCACGTCACCATACTAGTCAATGGGCAAAAGGGCAAACGCCTGACTTTTTATCTCGAGTTATGGATTTATGTGGCCTCACTGGCCCATCTGAGGTTCTAAAGCTATGTCTAAGCTACATCTTGACAAAAAACTCAATAGGGGCCAACCATCTACTTTTTGAAATAATTGGTCAATCGTGACACTACCCCCTCTCTCTGCCGACACAAATTGAAATTCACAAAAATCAAGGCAAAATTAATGCGCCACTTGACTCGAAATTTTCCTTCAGATAACCCAAATAAACGCATTTTCAGAAGAAATGGCATGTTCTCATTGCAAAAAGAAGACAACTGTGCCTACATACTAGCTTACTGACTCGTCATGATCACAATTGTGTCGGGACTACATTTATTTTTGAATACTACTTTCAGCGGAGGTGACGTATTAGGGCATTTGGGCCTACGTGCCAATAGCTGATTAGGGTTTGGGCATGCTGGGTAAATTACATGGCGTCCATTTTACGAGTCATCACCTTTCCTGTAGTATATTGATGACGTTTTTTCTCTAGCATGTTTTGCAGCAGAACATGTCATGTACATACTGCCTCTGACTTTCTTGAAAAGGAAGTTAGAATGTCATTTCATGTCTCCTGACAACGACGCAGTTAAAGACGTCAATAAACTATACTAGAATAGTAATTATTTACCGAGCACGATTTAGAGCTATTTGCGGATCTTATTTTTGAAGTGTATTTATATCATGAAATCGTGTTTGCGAGACTAGCTATATGGGTGTCGACTTTTGGCTTGCAACCGAAGATACCTCAAGGAAAGCCGGAGACTGCCGAAGATTTTCTGTGCAAACGAAGTTGGCCGAGGGTACCCCGAATGTGAAGAGGACGTCTCTAATTGGTCAAAAAGAGGCTCGGCAATTTCCGTCAGATTGAATCGGCTTACCTCCGGGAGCAAAGTGTTATTGAATAAGCACGCAGACAATTTGAAGCACAAATGTGTCTGCTGAATAGCTTTATATCATCAAACGGATAAGACAGTCTAACGATACAAACGATCTGTCTCATCTTCGCAATAAGAGGTCCCCTTGCAAAATAAATCAATATGGATTCAAGTAAATAACGCTCGTTGGATGTGTCTAATTAAAATATTTCTTAGGTAGCATTCGCGAATTCAACTGCCGGTTGACGATTTAACCTACTATTTTATGACAAACTCATTGAAATATGAATGGAATAGTGGCAGGATTTAATCAAATTTAAATGATTTGGCCATATAATAAGTTAAACCGTCAATCGTCAGTTGGATTCGCGATTGCTACATTTAGAATTTCGTTGTTTAGCATTTCAATGTTTGACTTCATGTAGCAATCAATGTAATCTCGTCAATCTAAACAACCATGTGATTGTTGTTTGGAGGCAAGGGTTTTATGAGAAAGGTCTGTTCAAAATAAATTGATTTATATCACTTGTCTTCTCAGCTGTATTCAGCTGAGAGTACGAAATCACCTTACTCAAGAGCAACCTGTTGAAAATGTCTTACTTTATATAATGTGCTTGGCCCCGGGTTCGATTCCCGGCTCAGACGAATTTGTTTGTGCGCTATGTAATTATGAGTGTTTGACACAGGGATAAGGATTCCTCCAATGAGGGGTTCCTGGCTCTGCCTTCGACTGTAAGATACGTAAAATACAGAATATACCAATGAGGTATTGCTCGCCAAATATCGGTTAACAAAAATACGATACAATAGGTTCATCAAAGCGAATTAAAAATGGCTGTCAACGCATCAACGTGGAGAAATACTTGTATAGCGTCACGCAAAACATATGTATTATTTATAAATAAAAATTGTTTTATATACAGGTTGGGCCAATAAAACGCCATTTTTTCAAAATGCTATCATAACTTTTTTATTTAATTTTTGATACAAAATCATTATTTGCATACCAAATGAAACTTGAGGTTGTTACCTAGCCATGGATCATGGATTGAACACTTTTACTTGAACAAGATATGTCTCACTTAAACATGTAGCGTGCCATGAGATATAAGCATAATTTGCAAAACGTTCCTGAACTGATGCAAACCCCAGTGAGTATAGGGTATGGAAAGGTCTCCAGGAGATTGTATGAAGGCACCCAATCTAGAAAATTGCTCAACTAAAGCTGGCAATTAAGACAGGTTGAAAAAAACTTAGTTAACATTTCATTGCTATATCAGCAAGGTGACTAAAACTAAAATATATCATCAAATAGGGTGGCGGACCAATTGAACTCCTCTTTTAAATCAAATATAATCCAAGTTGAAGGACTTGTTACACTATATTATTACTAAGAACCCCTGGCACTATATAACTGCAAAATTTGGGGTATGTAGGTTGGAAAATAAAAATGTTCTAGTGTCTTGAAAAAAAGTTGCGTTTTTTTTTTGGCCCACCCTGTAT